TGTGTCTCCACCTGCATGGGTCTTTTTCTCACGCTGTCCCTCTCTCCCCCCTTCTGGGCATTCTTCTTTCTTTCTTTTTTTGGCCCTGCCATGCGAGAAGTTTGTCGCGCGCGTTGGGTATGCCCCGAAGGCTTGCCCGGCCAGCGGGACGGTGCGCGACGAGCCGGTGTTCGCCTCGCTGGTGGTCCTGCCGCAGGCTCCGGCCCCGGTGGCCGTGGGCCGGGCACCTCCAACCCCGGGCCGGCCCTTTCCCGGGGGTGCTGAGCGCCCGGTCCCCCCGGCGGCCCTGGCCGATGGCACCGGCGTGGCCAACCACCCCTTCGACTTGGAGGCGTGGTGCACCTGCCGGCGTGGCGACGCGACGTCCGCCTGCCCGGCGCACCCCATGCCGCTGGACCACGTCGGCCTGACATACTACCACTACACCGAGCCGGTGCTGGGGCCGGGCCCCGGCTCGGCCGAGGACCTGGAAAAGACGGAGCAGGACGACCCCCAGGAGCTGCCACTGGCCGGGGGGTCGTCTTCGCTGCGGGTTTTCTCGTCCTCCTCGCTGCCGGTGGTCCACTCGCCGCGCGAGGCCGGCGGCCTGGCCGGCCACGAAGCCGGCGGGGTGGCTGCCCACGCCGAGGGGTCTTCCTCCTCGGCGGACTTGCTGTGTAAGGCCGGTGCCCCGGAGCCGGTCTCCTTCACGCACATGCCCCTGTCCCCGGGGGTGTCGTGGGCACCGGATGAAGGGGGGGGCGTCTCTTCGGCAAGCCTGACGCTGGCTTGATGTGTTCCCTGTCGCCGCCCTGTCTCTCTCTCTCTCTCTTTCTCTCTCTCTCTCTCTCCCTTACACCATGGGGCTGGCCGGATGGGGAGCTCACATGGGGGAGAGGGGCGGGGGCTTGGGCAGGGGGTGGAACCCGGTCACCTGGATTTGGGGCAAAAAGAAGACCATATACAATTCCCTTGTCAATTTCTCCCTTCTGCGCAGGGGACGGGGGCGCCAACGGCCGCGCATGTGTGTGTGTGTGTGTGTGCGTATGCGCGACCGCGGGCATGGCTTCGGAAAGAGGGGAAGGGGAGGGGGGCATGGGCAGGCAGTGCTGGATCTATTGGAGCCGCTGTGATGGCAGGGGCGCGGCCATTGCAGGGGGGGAGGGAAGGGGAAAGGTGAGAAGTGAGGCGGAAGGCCGAAGGACAGAAGAGGAGGCCGAGGGGAGGGGGCCACAAGTACTCATCGAGGAAATTAGCACTTGTCGTCTGGCATGCCGGGAGGACAGGCAGGGGTGGGGGGGAGGACGCGTTAGAAGTCAGGTCACAGCAGGACGCACGCACGGCAGGCCGAAAAGCGAGCCGGCGGGCGGCCGGGCGGCCGGGCGACAGGGCAAAGGGCAGTCACACGCGCGTACCGTGGAAAGTCCACTGGACCTTCTTCGGGGACTCGATGCGCTTGGACACGTAGGCCTGGTCGTTGGGGGGCGCGGTGCGGGACTCGGCGCTGGCCAGCATCGAGGCGATGGACACACAGAGAGCCTGCACGGTCAGGGCCGGGGACCACTGGTCGTAGAGGATCGACAGGCAGATGTGGCCGTTGGAGTAGACGTGCGGGTGGAGGGGCGGCTTGCCGACGAAGACCACCTATGGCAATGGCCACCAGCACGGGCAAAGGGGCCCCGTGGAAAGGGCACAGGGTGCGGCGAGAGGGGGTGGGGGAGAGAGAGAAAGAGCGGGACGTCAGCAGCGGGGCGCGGAAGCGAGGGAGGGACACACGGCATGGCGACACGAACCTCCGGGCTCTCGATCGGGTAGTTGTCATCGAAGCGGAACTGCCGAAGCCCAACGGACGGGGGGGGGGGGGATGGGGTCAGCCAGGCGTGCACGGGAGGGGAGCGTGGGGCGAGGGGCCGGGCAGGGAAGGGGAGAATGCGACACGGAGGGCACGACACGGAGGGCATGACGCACGCGCAGGTTGAAGAGCTCGCCCTCGTACAGGGTGCCGGAGCTGCCGCAGATTTCGATCTGCCACTCCTTCAGGTCGTCGGCCTTGACGCTGACGAAGGGCTCGCAGGAGCTGGCCGAAATTTTGGCCTGGGTGATGCGCGCATTGGCGCACGACAGGGCGGCGGCGTTTTGGGCGGCCTCGGCGGCCGCGAGATCGCGCTGGGCCACTTGCAGATCCTCCAACGCCTTCTGGCGCTGGGTGACAACCTTGTTTAGCTCGTTCAGCTCGCGGCCGAGCCGGCGGGACCGCATGGCAGACATGATGGAGGGGAAGAGGTGGGGGG